GGGGGGGGGGGGGGGTGGAACACAACAAGAAGTAAAGAAAACAACTGTACGTATAGGCTGTTTTCCCACGTCATGTTTCCTCACACTTCACATGCAGCAGTTCCCGAGCTCTTCACAGAAGTCTGGGTCAGGTTTTTGAGACTTTGGGGGTTACGTAAATAAGATTTAATGAAAACCACGTTCCAAGTGGAATTCTCAGTACCTGGCTGTAGAGTTCTACTGAGGATTCTCCTTTGAGCTGATGGCCTGTGAGGTAGGTATTGTGTGAAGATTCAATGTAATAGTAGGAGAGGGGCAGCTGTAATTCTTTAATGTTCTCTTGGGACTCATCATTTTTTGAGGCAAAATTATCTTTATCCATCAGAAATCTAGGAGGAAACAAATTTTCTTAGGGCTGCATGGGGAAAATAGGTGCTCTTAAAATGATGGGCAAAAGATATTTTAAAAGTTACCTTGCAAATCCTTCAAATGACATTAGGCCCTGATGACACATACTAATGCTAGGCTCAAACTTCTGCAAGGGATACAAAAAGAGTGTTATTTAGGTAAAGGAAACTGAGGGGGGAAAAACCACCACATCATTTTTAAAAGCTGTTCTGTTTTCATCAGGAAACATCTAAACCAAATATTTGAACTGAATTAGTTATGTAGTGGTAAGATGTAGCTTTTTAGTCCAAAAGCAAACATTTATTACAAGTGAGTTTATTATACGAAGCATATTTATCTAAGAGAAAAAAGGAGAGCAAGAGAAAAGAATAAGGCTGATTTGTATGAAAACAGTGTTAGTTTATCCAAATGAAAATGGGACATAGCTGGGGGTGTGTGAAATGAGATGATTCTCATAAAACGCTTTGTGCAGTGCTTGTCCTCAATACGGTAACAGTGAGCACTCGGCACGTCATAATAACCTTACATTTTAAGCACTTCCAGCGATCAAATCCAATTGCTGGACAGCTAATCCACTGGTTCCCAATCGGTTGAAAAAGGCGACTGAAGCCTAGCCTAATTCTGTTGCGCGTGAACTGTCCCCTAGCACCGCAGCTGCCGTGAACGGTCTCATCCCCTCCGTCTCCCCCCACCCTCTCGCTGCAGCCATCAGCATGTCTTGCCTGGGTGACTTGCGAAAGCGTCCTGCCCAGGCCTCTGCTTCCACTCCTTTCCCAGCACAGTTCATTCTCGGTGGAGTCAGAGTGACCTCTTACAAACAGACATTGTTATGCTACTTACTCCCCTGCGCAAAAATTTCCATTAGCTTCCCATTGCTCATGGACTAAAGTCAAACTCCTTAACATGCCCTAAATGCCTAGATGGTTGGGCCCCTGCCTACCTGTCTGAAATCGTGTCTACTGTTGTCCCTTTGGCTTAGGGGGCTCCCAGGACACAGCTTTTTTATTGTTTCTCATAAACCCCGAGCTCGCTCCTGCCTTGGTCTTTGGGCTTGCTGCTCCCTGCCTGGAATGCCCTTCCCTCAGACCTTCAATAGCTTACTCACTCAGGGCTCGGCCAAGTGTCACCTCCTCAGCTTATTCCCCTCAGCCCTCCTGCACCACTCCATCCCCTAACTCTACTCAGTATTTTCCAGAACCTAATATGATTATCTGAGATTACATTATACAGGGTTGGGCAAAAGTAGGTTTATAGCTGTGAGTATGTGAAACACTTTATTCTTGTATTTTTATTTATTAATTACTATATTATTCTCCATATGAACAACTGTAAACCCACTTTTGCCCCACACTGTATCTTTATTTGTATATTACCTGCCTCACCCACTCGAATGTAAGCTGAGCTGAGGGCAGAACTTGATCTTACTTACCACTATATTCCCAGGTCCTGGAACAGAGCCAGGCCCATAATAGAAGCTAACAAATATTTGTTAAATGATCAAAGAGACTGAAAACCTAGACTACTAATTCTACTGCATGTGTTAGAATGACAAGAAGGAATCATGTACTGATTCCTTATAATAGACACTGAGCAAGAGAAGGCTTGGGACCTGTATTAATTACATGTTGAATAAGAACACTTATGTATTTGTTATTTCAACCCCACCCCCCTCTATTTCTGCCCCAAACTTAAAGAGTCTTTGGAAAGAAGTATGGAAAGAGTAAATGTTTAGCAGAAAATAATTAGAAGAGTCAGGGGCTTTGCACATGTGTGCACACGAAACAGGCACATACCTGGATGATGCTGAGGATCTCATCATACGTGCAGTGTTCTCCTTGGCAGTTGACTAGGAAGTCATTGAGCTGGAGTATGCCAACCCCAAATACGCCCAGGGATGTGCTCTCGACCCCAGTGCCATTCGTCACGATACTTGCAGCAGCAATGGCGTCAGAGATCTGCCTCTGGTTGTCTGACAGTTGCTGTTTACTTTTAATGAACAACCCCAAATCCGAGACATTTCTGGTCAACAAATCTGAAACAGAACCACCCGCAGAATATGGGCACACTAACCAGCGTCTTTCACAAAGTTCACCTGGCAGATAACAGCGCTGGAGGAGCTCTTCACTAATCTGTCTAAACAAGCCAGCAAACTCAGTGCATGTTCCTGGCTTCACAGAGTAGAGGAATAAAGAAGCAATCAGTGAATAAAGAAGAGAAACTGAGAGAGAGCTAGATCCAGGACCCTGAAAGGCCACGAGCTTCGGTATTCGAGGGGAACTAAACGTACGTTCAATTGGGGATTTTAGGCTGAATATGGACTTTGGTTTTTGAGAATAACTATTACATTTTTATATTTTCAGAGACTGAAGATGAACCTTTAAAACTAGTGTTTCTGTACTTTAAAAGTGTAACGATAAACATTTGTGTGCAGGTTTCTGTGTGAACGTAAGTTTTCAATTCATTTGGGTAAATACCAAGAAATGCAATTGCTGGATCATATGGCAAGAGTACGTTTAGTTTTTTTTGTTTTTTTTTTTTAATCCTCACTTGAGGATATTTTTTCCGTTGCTTTTCAGTGAGAGTGGAAGAGAGGGAGGGAGAGAGGGAGAGAGAAACAGCGACGTAAAGGGGACACATCGACTGGTTGCCTCCCACATGCGCCCGGACCAGAGGTGGGGAGCAAACCCTCAATCCAAGTACGTGCCCTTGACTGGGAATCGAATCACTGATCCTTCGGCACATGGGCCGATGCTCTAACCACTGCACTACACCAGCCAGGGCTGTTTTGTAAGAAACCGCCCAACTCCCTTCCTAAGTGGCTGTACCATCTAACATTGCCACCAGCAAGGCTCCAGTTGCTCCACACCAACACCTTTTTGGTGTGGCCAGTCATTTTAATTCTCGCCGCTTTGGAAGACAGTCTGGCAGTTTCCTACAGAGCTAACCATAGGCTTACCATACGACCCAGCAGTTGTTTTCCTAGGTGTTTACCCACATGCACACTAAAACCTACACACAAATATTTACAGCAGCTTTATTTATAATTGCTAAAGCTTGGAAGCAACGAGGAATTCCTTCCATAGGTGAATAAACAGTGATAAATCCATACAATGGGATATTATTCAGCTATAAAAGGAAATGAGCTATCAAGCAATGAGAGACATGGAGGGACCTTGAACATGTATTGCTAAGTGAAAGAAGCCTGTCTGAAAAGGCTACATACTGTGTGATCCTAAATATGTAATATTCTGGAAAAGGCAATAAGTCAGAGAACAAAGGTGGGAGGGAATAAGTCGGGGACATCTGTAATACTTTCAACAATGAAAAATATATATATTTTAAAAAATCAGTGGTTGCCAGGGCTTCAGAAGGAGGGTGGGTGGGATGAACAGCTGGAGCATAGGGGATTTTTGGGACAGTGAAATTTTTCTGTATAATACAGTAATGGTGGGTACATGTCATTGTACTTCAAAGCCCATAGAATATACGACACAATCAGTGAACACTAATGTAAACTATGGACTTCAGTTAATAATATATCAATATTGGCTCCCTATAAAAAATATGCGAGAAATTAATAATAGGGGAAACTGTGTGGGGAGGCTATATGCAAACTCTCTGTTCTTTGCCCTCATTTTTCTGTAAATCTAAAACTGCTCTAAAAAGAAGCCTATTGAATTTTTAAGACTGTCACTGATTGAGTAATCCATGGTTATGCACATCTTACGACTAAAGTTGAAAAAGGTTAATATTCTTAGTTTAAGGACAACATAGGTCTTAAATAATTGAAGAGCAACTGCATGAAAGAGGACAGCATTTTTATTGTTGCTTTTTGTGCCTATGTTTTCCAGAAAGAACAGACGAGAAAAAGAATATCCTTTAAAATGCATGGATGGTGCTGGTGCTGGTGGGGAGTGGGGTAGAACTAGATATTCTGGTTTACATATTCGGGAAAATGTCCTGGATGTCCAGGCAGGAGTGTTCTGCTGAGGTCACTAAAGACTCTCATTGTTAAAGGGCAGTCAACTCCCACCCTGCGGCTGAGCACCCATCTGCCTGTAAGCAGGGAAGAGACCGGTGGTTCTCAACCAGGACACACCACACACCCAGTGGACATGTGGAAATGAGTGGGAAAGGGTTTTTGGTTGCCAGAATGACTGTAGGGCTCTATTGGTTAAATATCCTGAAATACAGGGACAGACCCACACAATGATGAATCTCCTTGTCTCAAATGCCAATGACACCTTGAAAAAAAGTCTCCAAATGTTTGGCCATGCCCCAGGTAACAGCAGGCCACGTGGCACAGGCTGAAGGTTTGTGTGATTGGACCTCCTACCCTGGTTCCTTAGATAGAAAGGTCTGAGAGGCAAAGATGAAACTGTTACACAAACCCAGGTCAGGCTGCAGGCCGCTGGTGTTTTCGTCGATGGTTAGGTTGGTGTAGAGCGGAGCCGACTCAGAGCCTGACCGGTTGCAGGGCACGGCGTAGAGGTCGAAGAGGTCCTTCAGGTCCTTGCGGCTCCTTACACTGAGTGAGGAATGAGAACGCCTCCCGTTTAGTACTGTTGTTACAATGTGGGGCTGAGAGAGGGTCAGAAGAAAGTCAGCCGTACCTGAAGGATTTGAACAGCTCAACAAATTCAACGAAACTCATGTTACTGTCGGAAACCATGAAGCTCTGAAAGCCTTTCATTCCTCCTTTGATGCGGCCATGCCAGCTGCTGCTGCTCCAAGCACTGCAACAAAAACACGGCCTTAACGGGCAGACCGGGCCCACGCCTGCCCTTCTGCCCCCGCGGACATCCTCTGGTCAGCAATGTGGCCAAAACGACGGACTGCAGGTCACTGAAGGCGGAGGCTATTTTCATCTCTCTCAAAATCAATCTATATTATGTCAGAGGAGATCAGACTTATACACTGAAACCTCGTCATGTTTACAGTCTATTTAATAAGACTGAGGTTAGGATGCTTCTACTAATCAAAACAGTTCTTTGAAATCACAGGTCAGTGGGGGGGGAAATGTAAATTCAGTGTCTTGGAAAACAGGTCATTTGAAAAAAAGAGAGCCCTGCCTGGCTGGCACGGCTCAGTGGTTGAGCATCGGCCTGGATCCAGGAGATCGAGGTTCGATTCTGGGTCAGGGCACATGTCTGGGTTGTGGGCTCGATCCCCAGCAGGGGTCGTGCAGGAGGCAGTGGATCAATGACTCTCACTGTTGATGTTTCTCTCTCTCTTGCCCTCTCCCTTTCTCTCTCTCTGAAATCAATAAAGATATAATAAATAAAATAATAATAAAAAAAGAGAGGCCCAAATTACTCAATTATAACCTATGGAAAATTGTGTACATTTCCCCCTATATTCTAAATTACAGAAACACATTTAAGAAGAATGTCCTGAATGTATCGATGTTTTCTCTTTTTCCTTTTTCAGCTGGTTCTTAGATGAAAACAGGGAAGGGCTTTTAATACTAACGGAAAATGTGAGTCAGAAAAATATTAAGAATGGAAAGAAGCCAACTCTGTCTAGGATTATAGCTGCACCTGCCAAGGCTGTATCTTCAATATAAAAATATCAGTCCAATAGATCAAAAATTCCGTCTGGCTGTTTCACAACATTTTTTTTTTTTTTTTTTATAACTTTCTACACTGGTTCCCTGATAGGATAGTATGAGAAATGTTTTGACTGGTTGTTAACCAAATTAATGAATAAGATCTTTCTTTTTCTTGTTTTTGTCTTTTATTTTTCACTTTAGAAATATTTCAAATATGTAAGAAAGTATAGAGAATATTGTATTGAGTAGCCCGTTTACCCTCAATCCTGCTAACAATGTTGAGTCATGGAAACTTATTCTGTGTTGACATCTGAAGGTTAAAGGAAGAGTATTACGAAAAGCTAGATTTGTATTATTTTGAGGGAAAAGGTGGTTGATCTCTCCTGTGGTGTGGGAAACAGGGTGGAGGGTCAGGGAGAGGAAGAAGGTTCCACAAAGTGGTTTATCATTTGCATTTAAACAAGTAATTCCCGGTCTTCGTTCTAGTTCCAGGCTCAGCCACCGTCCGTAGGCAGCCGCTCCCTCTGACTTTAGGAAGCTCCATCTGCCCACTCTTTCCCTTCCTGGGGCTCAGTCTTGCTTTTCCCCCTTGAACAGCATGTGGGCTGGTTTTTCTTCTCCTGCCTTGTCCTTTCTTTCTGCTTTAGGATACTTGGTGGGCTGTGGTCCCTGTCCTCCTGTGGGGCCCTGTGATCTCGTACCTGACATGTTAGTTTCTCTACTTCTACCTCTTTAAAAAGATCTTCCTCCCTTATTCTGCCCTTCTTTTTCCTGCTCATGAGTGACTGAAATAAAGGGAAAGGCGACTTAATCCCAGTTACCTGGCTATTTTATTTACCCGGGATGCGGTATAGTCTGGAATATAATGTAAAAAATTCTGATTCTTTGTAGGTTTTAATTGTGTTACATGCCCAAATTTACAGAGAAGTTGTAAGAGTGATACAAAGAATTCCCATGTACCCTTGACTCAGTTTCACCAAGTACAGAAATCTGAATGTATAAAGCATAAATTATGTTCATTTTTCACGCAGTGAAAGAATGCTTCCCTTTTAAAAATGATTTACTGTAGAGCGTGCGTATGTGTGTAATTAATGCTTCCAAAGCCAAGGTCTGCAGAGACCCACTTCCTCCTCCCACTCCCCTCTCGGATAAAGTGGAGTGCCTGTTTTATCTTGGCTCTGTCTGGAGTCTCTGCATTTCTTAAACGTTAGTGTGGGGTTGAGGGAGATGGTGTGGCATTCTGATTCCTTTGGAAGGCTTTCATTTTAATATCATTTCTTCTGAGAGGGTAGATGTTTCAAATAGGTAATCTGGACCTTATGAAATAATTTACTGTAACACCAGCTTTGAAATTATCTAGACATATCCAACTTGCTGTAATACATTCATTTCCCCAGATATGTATGACTTATCTTATATATGAGAAGAGTATTTAATATATTTCACCCATTAGCAAAAAGGGTCAAGCAGCTTACTTTAAAACTTAATTTATTCTTCATTGAGAACAGTGCCATCCAATAGAACTCTTTGCAATGATAGAAACATTCCACATCTGAACTGTTCAGTACAGTAGCCACCAGCCACTTGTGGCTGTGAGACACTTTTAATGTGGTTAGTGTGACTTAGGAACTAAATTTTATTTTATTATTTTACTTAATTTTTTTATTGAACTTAGTCAGAAACGGAGTTTTAAATTTTATTTAATTTTATTAAATAGCCACTTTCCCCACCCTGTGGCTAGTGGTTACTATACTAGACAGTGCTAATTTGGGGAATCATAGCTCAGGTTTTGTTATTGCCATTGAACTTTGAAGGGTTGGTGTGTAAAATAATTAGGAGCAATTATAGTAATATGAGAACACAGGAGTATAAAATCAGAAAAACTAGGATTTAAAAACTTGGGGGGGGGGGGGTCTTTTAATTCTCAATGTAACTGTTAAGTCAAAATCAGAGATGGTCTTCCATAGAGCACTGGGAGAAGACACCCTGCCACACAACCTGAGTGACGTGAAGGGTCCTTCTCTTTTATCATGTTAAGGCCCCACCTGGACGGGCTCTTGTTTGAAGACAGCACAGGGGAGGACACTGGCCTGATGGGAGATGACGTCCCGGCAGCCAAGTTGGGGGACCCAGCCGTGGTCAGAGAGTGGGCTCTTCTGGAAGGGAGAGGGTTAGGTGGGCTTGTGATGGCATTCGCCTCTGTGAGAGTGAAAGACAGAAAAGAGACAATGACCCCTTTCCCTCAGAATCAAACAAAAACCAAAGATGCTTCTGGATGTCTGTGCAAATCACTCTATGAAGGCAATTTCTATACAAGGGGCATCAAAATACTCTGATGAGTGGACTCAGTGTGTTCTCAACCCTGGTACACACAGGTATCATCTGGGGAGCTTACAAAGTATATAGATGTTCAGGTGCCACCACAGCGTCTGGATCAGTGCCTGGGTGTGGCCAGGGCATTGGATATTTTTTAAAAAGCTCTAATATCCAGCCCGGCCAGTGCAGCTCAATCGGCTGAGCATCAGCCCATGTGCCAGTGGGTCACCGGTTTGATTCCCAGTCAGGCACGTGCCTGGGTTGCGGGACTGACCCCCAGCAGGGGGAGTGCAGGAGGCAGCCAATCAATGATTCATCATTGATATTTCTATCTCTCTCTCCCTCTCCCTTCCTTTCTCTGAAATCAATAAAAACATATTAAAAAAAAAAAAAAGCCAAGTAACCTATTTTTTTTAGCCTGTGACTTTATGAGTGATGCANAAAAAGCCCTAATATCCAGCCTGGGTTGAGAATCACTGGGCTAACTCATCAAGTTGTATCTTGTTAGCTAATATTCCCTGTCAATAATGGCAAGTTAAGCAGTGAAAATTTTCTTCCAAGTACACTTGCAGAAATACCTCTTGGGTTCCGTCATCGAGTTAAAACAAAGGTAAGTATATTCAACAAGATAAAGGGTGCTGTTGAGAATGCCCACCGTACTTAAAATCACAATTTAAACCCAAATGCGTGTTTTCCCCATAAAATAACTTCCGCTGTGGCTGTGCTGCTTACCCGATTCTTCGTGCTCATTAATGTCCTGGGGATCAGAGCCACTCCAGCTCCGACACTCCTTGTGCACTCTGGCCTTTCGGGTGGCCATCTCGTCGTCGGCTGCCTCTCCACTCTCCCCCTGGGAACACAGGGCGCACCGTGGCTCTCATTGTGTTTCTCTCCTGTCATCCTTTAGTTTGGGCAGGTCCCTGTCTTCTGACAGACCCACCTTCAAGGCTGCCTCCCCGGTGAAGCCAGTAAAGACCCCCTGAAGGCTGACCAAGCATGCTCAAGGAGCATTGTACCATTTGTCCTTCACTATAACGCATCACTCCTCAGGGGAGGGGGCCCATAAAAGGAGGCAGCTGGCCCCTGAAAGCTCCACATAGAGACAAAGTGATAAAGTTGATAAAGTTCAACTTAGGCATCGACAGCCTCCTATCTATCTGCAAAGAGTAAGACTTTTTCTAGATAACCATGGAGAAAATATATATCATGCTATAGTGATAATGTATATAATGAAATATATGATATATAGTGATATGTATTTATTGTGATAGGAAGCATAGCTTAAAATTCAGCATCTTAACCACTTTAAGTGTGTAGTAGAATAGTGCTAACTCTATGTACCTTGTGCAACAAATATCTAACCTTCTAACCTTGTAAAACTTAAACTCTATACCCATTAAACCGCCCCTTTTTCGAGGGATATCTCACCCCCATCCCCCCAGTCCTTGGCCACCACCATTCTACTTTCAGTTTCTAAGAGTCTGACCACTCTAGGTACCTCAAAGAAGTGGCATCACACAGTATTTGGTGTTTTGTGACTGGCTTATTTCACTTAGGATAATGTCCTCGAGGTTCACCCAAGTTGCAGCCTATGAGAGAATTTCCTTCCTTTTTCAAAGTTGAATAATATTTCATTGTATGTCTCTATCACCTTTTCTTTATCCCTCATTTGTGGATGAACATTCAGGTTGCTTCTCTCGATAATACATTTTAAACTGTGTTCTGCATTTAGCAGGTCTTCTGAGACCTTCAGAATCTGACCCTCATTCCTTTCCAGCCTTTCCCCGCCCACCACAGAGCCGCTGCTCCAGCTTGGAGCAGGGACCCAGAACTACACGTGCAACAAGCCGTATGTTTCATGTGTCTCTGCTGCCTCATCTGCCTGGGATGCCTTTCCCTGTGTTGTCTGTATGGTAAACTCCTATACAACCTTTAAGACCCATCTGTCAACTGCTCTTGAAGTCTTCTCTGGCTCCTCTCAGCCCTGTATCTTCCATTCCTCTGTTCCTACAGCACTTTGCAGACGGCTTGACAATGACCTATTTAGATCTCACTGTGTTTGTTAACACATCTGTGTCCCTCTATGGACCCTGGCTTTTCCTGGGTGTTGACTCAGTTCCTAGCACTGGGGCTGGCACCCGGGGGTGCCTGGCAAGCCCCTGTGTTTCATTTGTTTTATACCTCATCTTGTCCCCAGAGCAAATGATCTAAGATCGTTTAGGGTGATGGAAGCCATACAACGGTCCCGGATGGTTGGGTCTGATGCTTAATAAACAAGCGGCGCTCTACCTACCCTCATAAGGACTTTCTTCTTCTTCTTGGCGGTGCTGATGCCCAAGGTGTTGTTCCTCTGCATGTTGGGCTTCTCGGCGCCCTTCGCTGATGTCCCGGGGCTGGGGTTCCGGGTACTCCATCGTCTGCCGCCAAACAACTCCACAGCGTGGGCCAGAGTCGGGCCTTCATACCGCCCTTCTTCCTGTGGAAGAGACACATGCCAAACACAGGCGGGACCAGCATCAGGGCAGTAAACACGGGAACGGCTTCCAGGGGACTCCCAGGGGTGAGAACGCTCAGGCAGCCACCGAGGAATAACAATCCACCCGGCCACCCAAGCGGCCCCGTTTTCTAGTTGTCAGGACTCTGTTGGGGATTTCATCACATCCTCTGCAGTCCTGGTCACATCCCTGCTGAGTTCCAGTGACGTGCTTTAATAGGCCCATGTTCAACTGGGATTAACAGAAAAATTTCCCTTCCTAGTTTCAGAGGTTCTGTTCCAGAATTACCACTGGAAAAAAATTCATTACAATGTAATTTGCCAATTAGGGCTTTGGAGGACTTGTATGTGTGCGAATCTATTTAAGTAAAATCAATCCTATTTGTTATTGTATCACTCTAGGTGTATTTTCACATCGTTTGATGCTTGGGGTAGTCTGACTTGAAATATAGGGTATGTGGCATACCTAAAATTCACTTTGGAGGTCTCTGGGGAGCACCCCAAATAGTTGGGCTGCCATCCTCTTGAGGGACTAATAAACAAGGACAGAGAGCCCAGGGGACTCAGAACACCATGCACATTATGATGTTGTGAGCAGCAAACACACTCAAAGGGCAGGCAAAGATCTACAATAGCTGTTTCTCCTAAGGCAACTCCATATAACATGCAATGATAGCAGCAAGGATTGATTTATTTGTTGAATTAACAATGGTCAAAAATTCTCCCTATAAGTCAGGAAAGCAGGTTAACAAAACAAAAAGTTGCATATGAATGAAAGATATTGATAGTTCACAGGTTGTATAAAAGAGCTCTTTGAAAATTACTTTCCATTTACCGTCTTTATTTTCTGCAAACTTTTAAGGCTAGTCCTCCTCTGTAGTTCCAAAGAAGTGGTTGTAAATGGATTTTGCTTTGTAAATAATGAGGCTTTGTGTGTGTGTGTATGCCTGCTCCTTCATCCCAATGTTCAATGACTGTCTGATTTTATGACCTGAGTTGTGACTTCCTGCATCCTGTTCAGGATCCCAGGATGCTGAGCAAATTGGATACTTGATGTGGGACACCTTTTGGTGCTCTCTTGTAGTGGATATCTGTGATTTATACCTGTCCATTAACCATTTCTCTTTTCTCGAATCACACCTCAATTTTACTTTATCTCTTTTCCATTGGACACAGTCCTGGGTCTATCAACCATAGTGGAACACCCTTTAACACAGCGGATGACACAAGATTCAAAGAAGCCAGTCAGAACTTCCCTCCCTGGAAGACGAATCTTGAATGCAGTGAAGTGGAGAATAAAAATGGCTGGAGGTGATTCCACCTGGTGCAGGCCTGCTGAAGAGGGTCTGGCTAACAAGTCACTACAATTGGCTCCAAAGTGGAATAAACATTTCATGACCCAATTCATAAATAGGCTTTATCTACTTTATTGAATAACATACTCTAAATCTAAAAGGAAATTTTTTATCTATGGGTTTTAACTAACATATTTTCAAAAATTGAATAACTCCATTAAAATTTAAAACTTCTGCTCTGCGAAAGACACCATCAAGAGAACTAAAAGCCAAGCCACAGACTGGGAGAAAATATTTGCAAAAGCAGCATCTGATAAAGGACTGTTATCCAAAATGCATGAAGAAATCGTAACACTCAACAATAAGAAGGCAAACAAGCTGACTGAAAAAATGGGCCAAAGACCTTAACAGGCACTTCAGCAAAGAAGACATACAGATGGCAAGTAAACATAACCAGAGAGAACACTAAGGTAAACTATGGACTTTGGGTGATTATGATATGTCAATGTAGGTTCATCCTTTGTAAAAAATGTACCATTTTGGTGAGTGATGTTGACAACAGGGGACCTATGCATGGTGGTGGGAGGTTTATGGAAAACCTCTGTACCTTCCTCTCAATTTTACTGTAAACCTAAACCTGCTCAAAAAATTAAGTCTCTAATAAAAAATGTAATAGGCCCAATTACCTTCGACATATAAAAGAATCAACTTCTACTGCTTTGGTTTTTCTAAATCAGAACATCCCAACATGGGCCAAGCTTTACTCTTAATGAATATATTCTAGGCCTGAAAAGGGCGAAATGCCTTTGTTTAACCTTTAAAGGAGATTTTCTGAGAACTAAAATGTAGTTAGAATCTTTCTTTCATTTTATACAAAACAATAACCTTGTTTGGGATGGGTGAAGGATGCACCTTCTATTTTTATTTTGGGAGAAGGGCTGTTGGGAGTGAAAATACATTCTTAGTTTTAAGAAAAAGTCCATGCACAAGTTGAAGATTAGGAAATTGTTTCCTTAAAATATGTTCATGCACTTTTTATCTCTTCGCATATCTTTGCACATGATATGTTGAAGACAGTTAAACTAACCTAATCCTTTGAATAAATCCTTATTTTTCCTGAAGATTTCGCTAAGCCCATTTCTGTTGCTTACTACCAAAGAAGTCTACCTGATAATCCTATATTTAACCTTCTCAGCTTCCCAGAGATCTTTTCAAATATCTAGGATTATGGGTTCTTAGCTCTGCTCATGATAACCTTGAGCCAAAGCTTATGATACCAGTCTTTCTTCTATACTTCACATCAAATCTCTGCATGGTTTACTTTCTTTTACTTTCCTGTATATTCCTAGGCTTCATTACAAATGTCACAAATTCTTCTTGTCTTTTGCTTTATCTCCTGTTACTATTTCCATTAGATCAATTAACATTTACTAGTATTAATGTGATTGTATCTGAAGGTAACTTCACAGGCATTCATCACACAAGGGAACTCCAATGGTAGAAATATTATTTTCTATACAAGTCCTTCCCAAACTAGGGATAAAGAAATACTCTTGGTAGGGCCATTAAAAGAAGTTTGGAAGAACCCAAGACTTTTCATAAATTTCTTCAAATTATAGATACATTTCAATAGGTTTCTTTTGTACTTAGGACTCCTCAGAGCCTTAAATGTGTTAAGCCTAATTATAAGTCACCAAGTAGGGGATTTAGCATGACCTATTTGACCTTTTGTTCTCCAAGTACCAAATTAGCATCGTTTTGATGTTCCCTAAGACAGTTTGAGAACTGGTCTAATGATAGGAAAATGGTCAGTTTGTTGACCTATTTTCATTTTTTACAAAAAAAAAAGGAAAAAAGAAGAAATCTTGTCTGTTCCTAAAGCATGTTGTCTGTCTTCCTGGGCGGCTCATGTTTTGAGGAAGAACATCACCTACGTTTTCAGAAGTGACTGAGGTATATGGAATTGTTTTGCCTTCACACTGTAACCACTTGGTTCCCTGCAAGCGCAGAGGGACGGGGGTTTGGGAGGGGGAAAGAGAGAGGTGTAGCTAGGTGTGCAGCTGGGTAGGACTGAGCTTGCCCCAGGTCTCTTCCTGTGTCTTTGCTCTAGCAGCACCTCTTACCTCTTCTCATAAGCTATTCATGGTTTCGACTGGCGCCTCCTTCAGCAAAAGCAGAAGGTTGACAGGGTAAATGAGAAACCAAGTCCACTTTATGGGTTAATTCAGTTACTTTATGCTATAAGCTTAAGAAGGAAACACATGGAGCAAATAAATCACATAGGCTTTATACGGTGGTTGTAATTGAGTTCAAAGACTTTGGTTTATGGCCAGGTTAAATGGATTTCCATGATTGTAGACAGCTGCGGAATGAATGTAATTAAAAATCAATATTCATAATTGTTCCTGAAGACCCTTCCTCCAAGCAGCTGACTGCACTGAAAGCTCCTTGTGGAGCAGACAGGAAGGAGGTATTTTGGTTTCCATTTTAGATGAATTAACTCAAACATGTTTTGTGCTGTGGAGCATTAGCATAATAGTGTATGTAGGCCTATGTGCTTAATAATTAATTAATAAGTCACCCATTCAGGATACGGGCTCTCCTCATAGGTATTGCATGGGCAGGAGGAAACAGGGAAGAAGGAGAATTATATGTACTTCTACTAATTTCCCAGAGGGGAAATGTTTTTACTTGTCAGAAACATGTTAGAACAGTGAAAAGTACATGAAATTAGTCATTTTAGTAATTTAAGTCATAGTTCTATTTGTTCTGTGACACTAGTAAAAAAGATCATTTCCCCCTCCAGAGACAGAAAAGTGTAAGAAAGAGAAACCGAATGCTTTGACACACTGGTCTGCCGATGCTACGGACAGTGTTGCCTTGTGGTGGGGTTTATGACTCAGTTTCCAAACTCTGTCCTCCTTCCTCCACGAGCATGGTGCCTCTTCTCACCACCCCCTTCAGCCCAGTCCTGCTGCCCATCCTGAACACGGTGGGGGGAGTTACAGCGCCTGACGACCTAGGGTCAATGAGAGACTCAGTTTTAACAGCCCACGGTGGGAAACTACCCCCGAGGGCTGATGCCACTACAAGCCTGGCTGGAAAGAACTCCTCGTATGAGTTACCCCGCACTTGGGGAAGTTTCTTTTGACCTTAGAAGTTCTATAGTTAGACAGAAATATGGTCGGTTAAATAACTCTCCGAGAGTCACGTGGCATATTAGGTGACGAAGCAGGATTTCTATTCCCAAAGTGAAGGTTTCCGATGTATCAGTTAGTCCCTAATTAATAACAAAAGCATTCAGGTCGCAAGGCTTTCCATGAAAACTTTAAGTGAAAAGGCTTTTACATTAGTTGGTTTCTCTCCGGATGTTAGAATTACAATGATCGTAGTCACTATTTTCGTATAAAATAGTAACAGGACCTACTATGAGCCACTATGCTTTATACATATGAATTTACACTATGGCTTTACCCATGTTAACTCAATTAAACCTCACAGCCACCTTATGAACAGGTATTGCTGTTATTCTCATTTTATAAATAAGAAACTGAGCACGGAGCGGTTAAGTCAAAGCTGCCCGCTGTCGCTCAGGTAGGAAGTGATAGAGCTGAGAGAATGAGCCCCGGCGGCCTAGTGGCCAGGTGTGTTCTTACAAGATTTCCATCTCGAGAATTATGCCACCGAGGAGCGAGGGAAGGTTGCGCCCTTACCTGGTAGAGGCTGACGTACTGTTTCCGCAGCCACTGCTGTCTTTGGTCAGGGAACTTCCTCATCTTTCTCACAGCTCTTGTGAGTTCCAGCAACCCACTGAAGAGCATTTTAGCTGTGTGCTTCGGTGCCACAAAGTGCAGCAATCTGTTGTCAGTGGTCTGAAGCCCATAGAGCAGCGTCACACCCGTCTCTGCCAGAAACATGCTACTCAGTTTGTTCTGAACACACACAGTGTGTATATCAATGTTGGGGTGTCCCATGTACACAGCCTTTGCAGAAAACAGATCCAAGACCCCCTCCGCCAGGCCACTTAATCCAGCGTTGCCCAGCAATGGGAATTTGCCAGGCTCGGGTGCGTTAGCCAGCACACCAAGTTTTGCTTTAGCACTGGCTGGGGAGGCAGTGGTGGGCTTTGTCCAGGTCAAGGTGCTATTGTCAGGCTGAAGCTGGAGGAAGCAGCGGGCGGACAGGTGTGTGTCCTGGTCATAGTGGATAACTGTGGCCCCCTGCAGCAGGAACTGGTGCACGTCAGCTCGGATGGACAGGACGTACCACGGGATGAGCTCTGTCCCATGGTCAAAGGCCTTCTGTGGCTCTTCTGGTCCATGAGGGTCCCATTCTTTGGGCTGCTCAAAGATGTCATTTTCCGTATCCAGCAAATCTCCAATTATAAACCTGATGGAAAGAGATTCAAACCTGGGCTTATCATCAGAAGGAAGAACAATACAAAGCCTTTCACTGGCACCTGGATATCATTTTTCATTCTACTATGATTCAAATTGCATAAGAAACACAAAATGTTAAAAGTCAAGTCATTTCTTATAGCTGTAGTCTAAAACCTTATATTTAGCAATATTGTGATCATAGGCATAAGGAAAGAAATCAATAGATTAGTTATTGTACCTTTTCTTTTTAAAAGAATAGTTTATTGATTTTTAGAGAAGGAGGAAGGGAGAGAGAGAAACATCAGTCGGCTGCCTCCTGCATGCCCCCTACCGGGGACTGAGCCTCTAACTCAGGCATGCGCCCTGACCGGGAATCAAACCTGCAACCCTTTGGTGCACTGGACGACGCCCAACCAACTGAACCAGACTGGCCAGGGAAGTTATTGTATTTTTAATATCAACAGCAATAATCTTCATAATGTACTAATTTTCCCTCTTGTGTCAGGAACTGTATTAAATATTTTACAAATATTTTTGCACTTAATTCGACCTACTTATGAAGTACGTTTTCTTACTCTTTTTTTTCACTTATGAAGGTACCTGAGGTTCAGAAGGTACCCGAGGTTAAATAATTCGCTTCAGGTTATCCACCTCAGAAGGGGCTTACCCAAGGCAGGATTCTGGTTTGTCTGACTCTTTAGCCTGAGATCTTCATCACTAGGTTCTTTTGCCTTCTACTTGATCATTAACAAAAGTCATGACCTGAATACAAAGGAGCTAAAATAGGCAAAACAAGACTTAATAAGCTGGCCTGAGAAGAGCCTCTGCTAACAATAAAATAAAATAGAATAAAATAAAATAAAATAATAAAATAAAATAAAATAAGATTAGTTCAAAGGCACTCACTGGGAAATACAGTCATGGTAGTCAGAGGAGCAAAAACAGCTCTCCTTGACGCAGCCTTAGATTTCCATTGGGTGTGTGTGCACATGCATGTCTGCTTGGAAAAATCTAGCAACTTGCCTTCCCTGAATGAGGAACCTGTTTTATTAGGGCCAGAAGAATCTGGGGGGAAGGCAAGGGAGACTATTTTCTCCTTTCTATCTGGCCGCCTTGGTAGGAACATGCCCAAGAGAGGTTCATTCTCTTTGAAGCAAACTTGTTAGTAAGATCAAGGTTCTGCTGTTCGATCCATAAACATTACTAGCAAAGTGGTGAGTAAAACTGAGAAGGAGCAGGTCCACTCCCGTCTGGAAAGGGATGTTCCAGTCGTCTTGAGGCACTTGGGCAGCCTACTGCCTCTTGGTGAACCATGAGCAGCAGCACTGGGCTTCTTGGACTCAGTCTAGATCCTGGTCCCTGAGCAAGATCCCACTCCTGCTTCCAAATAGCAGATCCTTCCTCCTCGCCTCACATAAATAGATATCCTTAAAAAGGAAAAGAAACTACAGGAGATCTCACAAATTTGGTAGTCAGAATATCCTTTTCAGATTATCCACCCTCAAAACAACCCAAATGTCCAGAAACAATATAATGTATAAATAAAATTGGATGTATTTGTTCAATGTAATTCTGCAGGGCAATGAAAATAGCACACAACAGCAAACTACGTGCAGCAACGTGGACAAATCTTAAGCCAGGCATGTAAGAATAAGCACTACATTTATGGATAGGTAAAGTTATGCATGTTTAAATTTACCTAGGAATACTGCATTACATTTAGTTGTCCTGTTTCTTTGGCTTCTCGCAGATACGACGGTTTCTCAGACTTGCCTTGTTTTTGATGATCTTGACAGTTTTGAGAAGCACTGGTCAAGTATTTTGTAGAATGTCCCTCAATTAGAATTTGCCTGATATTTTCCTTATAATTAGACTGGGGTTCGAGGTTTGGGGCAGGAAGACCACGGAGGAAGAGTGCCATCCATTCTCATCACATCATATTCAGGGAACATGTGTCCACATGACTTACCCCTGTTGATGTTGAACTGGCTGAGGGAGTGTTTGTCATTTGCCGCTATAAAGTGACTTTAAAAAACGACCACCTCCTTTCTGCACTGCCCTCATTGGAAGGCAGTCACTAGGCACAGCCCATGTAAGGAGTGAGGAGTTATGCTCCACCTGCTAGAAGGTGGAGTATCTAATAAATTATTTGGAATTATCTTTTCTCCCCCATTTGCTTATTTATCATAAATATATTAACACATGAATATTTGTTTAATATTTATTTAATATTTAATACTTTGGGTTATAATCTAATGCTACTTTATTTTATTGCTCAAATTGGCCATTGGGAGCTTCTGCAGTGGCTCTTGTGTGCCTTTGATAAAACTCCATTGTTGTGGGTGTTGTGTGTTTTTTAGTATGTCTTCTTTTTTTTTTTTAATATGTCTTTACTGATTTCAGAGAGAGGAAGGGAGAGGGAGAGGGAGAGAGAAACATCAATGGTAAGAGAGTCATTGATTGGCTGTCTCCTGTACACCCCCCGCTGGGGACAGAGCCCGAAACCCAGGCATGTGCCCTGACCGGGAATCTAACCGGTGGCCTCCTGGTGCCTGGGATGATGCTCCATCCACTGAGCCACACCAGTGAGGCTTTTTAGCACTTCTTTACTTTCTGGCACAACAAGATGTTCCAGGCTCATCTTGTGTATTTCCTGCCCCGGTCCTAGAATTGGCCATTTCTCCAAGGAGCTTTGCTTTCTTTTTTTGAAGAATGTTATTAGAAATCAAGATCTGGTTGCTATGTGCAAAAATACATTCTATTTTATGCACTAATGTTCCATTTCCACAGAAAAAGTGAAGGAAGGAAGGAAGGAAGGAAGGAAGGAAGGAAGGAAGGAAGGAAGGAAGGAAGAAAGAAAGAAAGAAAGAAAGAAAGAAAGAAAGAAAGAAAGAAAGAAAGAGAAAGAAAGAAAGAAAAAGTCCGTTGTGTCTTAGTTCCATCTTTCTGAAATTGCTCTCAGTACCAATGGAAAACCAATACTTATGTCCATGCTTCCTACCTATAGCATGGCAATTAGGAACATGACCTCTAGTATCACCCTGGATTCAGTGGCAGCTCCACCACCTATTTGCTGTGTGACCTAGTCAAATGACTCAACTTCTCTGAGCCTCACTTTACCTATCTGTTAATGGCAGAAAGACAATGCCCATTACGCAGATTAATGGTGAAGCTCAAATAAAATAATGTTTGTACGGCACTCAGCACAGCATCTGGCTCACTATGATTAAGTATAGGAAGACTGAGGTTTCTCCCCTCCCACTTCTCCTTCCCCACTTCCTCTCCTGAGCCTAAACCAGTCCAGCTGTTCCTCTAGAGGGGCTTCCTTTAGACCACATCCAAGCCCTTTAATCTTTTTATTTCCTTCCCTTGGAACCATTTCCACATTCTCCATGTCATACTTGTTGTTTCTTTTTTTTGTGTGTGTGTTTTTTAAGTACAAAAGTGACTCAGTCGGTAAGTGTCAGTACTCATGAAATACAACGTATGTTAATATGGACATAGAATTTCTGATTTTAATTTAGCAAGAGAAATGGTGTTTCCCATATTCTGTTTAATTTGAGTTCTGAACTAAATCATGTATTGTCCAGTAAAAAAAACCAAACTACAAGCATTATGAAAAATAGTGTCTGGAAAGAAAAATTATAAGGCTTTAAGGAGCCTGTTTCTGCTGCTCAGAGATGATAGAAGCTGGGAGAGAGCAGACACTGTCTTTCTTGGAATCAGTTTCTATTTTAGAACACAAAAAGAACTAATGTTCAGTGTTAATAATTCCATTACAAAGCGTTCTTCCAGGGCCGAATGCCCAGATAAGACTGACAACTGTTTGTAAAGAAATACATTTCCCTTTCAAGAAGGAAACTAGTAGCTTAGTCTCTTAGATCATCTAGTGAATTTTATGCACTTCTGTGCCTGATCCTCTCAGGAGACATGTTTCTGTGGGTTTACAAAAAGGAACAAGGTAGAACTTAAAGATTTACTTAGGGACCAAATAACATTAACCAAATGTCAAAGACGTGGTTTACCAGCAAAGAAACTACATTGTCAAACAGATCCTATGTCTCAAGGAGAGGATTACAGAATAAAAAGAGAAGGGAAGTTTGTATCTGACCTGAGAAGGTAGCATCCTTCAGTTAGAAACCATAAATTGATAAACATTTTTTAATGTCCCCTAATGAAAAATCTTGTATTAGGAGACAAGTGTATTTTCTTAGTAAATGTTCATGACTTCCTACAAAGTTAGTATGATTATGTGAACATAATTCATCAAGTGATAAGCCCAAATTAATTTTGTAAGACAGAAGAAAATGTACATCTTTTCCAAAGGAAAAACTATAGCTGCTTGCTGTAATAAAACCCAGACTTTTAAGCTTGCTTCTGGCGAATTCTTGCTTTTAATTAACCTAGAATTTCTCTCAACAACAGGCAGCTTCTAAATTGTATCTGGGTGGTGTGTGTGGACTTTGGAGCCAGTTAGCCTGAGGTTAAATCCTGGCCCTGCTAGGTGTGAAATCCTGAGTAAAACACAACTGTTGTGAGGATTAAATAATGTAACATATGTAAAGTATTATGACAATGTTTCTTTAAAAGTGGCTCTCAATAAATAACAGCATGTTAAATATTACTAATGTCATTGTTGTCAGGATTGTATTAACAAAGTCAATATGAGGCTCTGGATCCGGAATGGATTCCCGAGTGCTGGAAACAGCGCCTGCTGATCTGGTTTCAGGGAATTTATTAAACACCCCACTCCCACCTCGTGTGTCCAGCGCTTCACTTCAGAGTAGCAGTCGCTTGGGGTAAAGAAACTGTTACTGGTACTGAGATGCACAGGTTTCAGCGTGAGCATTTCAACATGGCTTCACAGGTTTTGTAAAAAATAGCTGCATTTTTGTGCTCCCTTCCCCCCCTCCTAAGAGTGCTTAGAAGCAGAGTCTGGAAAATGGGAAGCAGAAGAGAGATGTTCTTAGGATGTAGATGATAAAACAGTTAGGAGAGGACAAGAGAATAAGTAGAAAACTGGAAATAAAAATGTCACGAGAGGTGACAGGATCAGGTAACAAATTTATCACTTGAAGGGACCCCAGCAAAAGGAAAAGATGGTAAAGGGAAAGCTCAGAGGCTCGGTCTCTGAGGCTCAACCAAAGGGAACACTCCTGAAAGTATTTGGGAAGGGTTGACACTTTTAATTAACACCCCACCCCCAAACAAGGAGAGGTTGTGATAAACAAAGAGCCATATGAAGTTCATTATTTTATCTACTCAGGGATGATGTTTCCCTTATAGTAAGGATTTAAGGAAGGAATTTTGGCCAGATCTCAGTATGAAGAAAAGGTTTATCTCAAACATCTGTTTGATTTTTCTTACAAATATTGTGAAACTTGCAATAAATCATGATTCCCTCTTTCCTAAGGCCACTAAGAATCTCAGGACAAAATTCAGTCACTGCGAAGACTAAGAGTATACACTTCCATATTATTTTTTCCTAACTTATTTTCCTTAATATCTTCTATTATCTGTATTTATTCTCATAAGCATCTGCAACATTTTTTGTGGAAGGAGGTAGATATATATATATGGATACCTATGTAGATAGACAGGTAAGCAGAGGTAGATATAGGTTAAGGACCTAAATGGCTATGGGATGCTTCCTGTGTGGACATGTGCTTATTTGTAGGTGGCCCTCCCCACCCCTCGCTATACTATATGGTATGCTAATGCTATATATACTATAACATATATATAATGCTATAGATACAAAATACTAATGTCAACAACCCGTGAGAAAACTTCCAAACTATCTTTGAACTGAGATAAACTTAAAATAAAGCTACCTGTGAGACATTTGGGCTTTAGGGCTGGGACACTGTGGTGAGGGCACTGACAGCTCATCTTTGGGCACCTGCGTCTTCTATGGGGGAATGGGCAAGGAAGTGAGATCTGGAAGAAGGCCCAAAGACTTCGGAGAAATTTAGAATGTAGGTTTACCTCCTTAAGACATACAGCATTAGGGGTTCAGATATGAGGCATTCATTCTATGTTCACCACCGATTCTAAGTATCTAGTACTCCCATTCCAAAGAAATTATTTTCTATAAACACTGCACCCTTCCCACTGTAGGCACTCACACACACAGACAACCGGGAAAGGCGCTGCAAAATGAATAGCAATGGCTTACGGACACAGACCTGTGTGTGTAAGGACTCCAGGACAGCCGCGAGGTCTGACTCGTGAGTACTGACTACAAATAAAATCTTTTGTGGCAAAGGCGTCAAAGCCAGTAGACTTAATAGTTTTGGAGGCACTGAAGGATTGACTCCTTCAGCTGGGCCAGGCTCTGCCACTTGAGTTAGGCTTCACCATGAATGGCCTTGAAGAGAAGCAACACATGCCCCACTGGTTTCTGATCTTCCACTTGGTTGTAGGTAAGCACCGCTGGCTAGATTGCAATGCCTGCTGATAAACAGCAATTGGAACAACTAAACAATTACGAGGGTGAGGTTGCCGCCTCACAGAGCCATGTTTCTGAAAGCGAGAACCTTGACCACCTGATTTAGAATCACCCAAAGTTTGGAGGAAGCTGCTAAAAATACTGATTTCTAGGTCTCATTCTACTCTTACTAAATAGCTATATTTCATTACAAAATATGTTAATACCCACCCCTGTGTCCCTCTCAGTGATTATTACTAAAGGCCATTTTTATAGAAGCTACGAAATAAATAAATGAGATCATGGTTCTAATCCTGAAATTTAATTGGTTGAGTTTTTAGATACATAAGGATAGCTCTAGTTTCCTTTCAAGGGCTAACTACTGGCAAGAAGTTAAATTATAAGTGGTAATTTTAGAACAAGGAAGCCAAATTAAAAAGAGACATTCCAATTCAGAATTGATAAAGATGGGAGAGAAAGCAGCATGGCTTACTTATAAAGGTGGTGGGTTTTTATTAGGTGTCTACCTGAAACCAACCAAAGGAGGGAGAAGCAGCAGCGAGCATCCTCCCCCCCGTTAAAGTGTGAAACTCACTGGCATCGAGCTCTGTCCTTCAAGGAGTTTTTCCGAGAGCCGCTCCCTTCGCTGGGGCTGTCCTCGTCTTCCATCTCCAGGCTGCGACTGCAGCTCCTGATGATCTGAAAGATGCTGTTGACGGTGGACTCTTTCTCCGAATTCTTCAAGCCATTTTGTCCCACTCGTTGTAAAAAATTATCTTGTCCACTGTAGTCGGCTACAAACTACAGAAAAATATACCGAGAGTTTGGTATTGCAACATCATGTAATACATCTAAAGAGCCTACTTGGCTAGGGAATCGTGATAGTCATAAATAATTGTGTTTGTGCCTATTTTCTTGGGGGGAGGGTGAGAACCTCCAGGAAAAACATTTTTTTTTCCTTTCACCACATAAAATATCAAAACTTACTCTTGTTTTCACTAAGACAACATTAGTCCCTCTAGGAACCAACACTGTACTTGGAATTGAAAACACAAAAAGCAATATTATTCCAAGGTTCCCTAGGGAGAAGATTAGCCACTTTACAGAGGAAGGCAGGGTTATTTTATCCTTGAGTGAGAATTGAGAAAAACCACGAAAAAGTGTACTATACTACAGAACCAGGTTAAAATCACTGAGAAAGGTGGCGTTTTGCTTTGTTTCCCGTGTATCCTGTGTAACACAGAGGCTCCCTGGTAGTGTTTGAGCTCCATTGTCTGTGTCTTGATCAGGAAGCTTCTCCCAGCACCCTGCAGCGGCCAGGCCCTGAGAGGTGGTGCCCCCTCCTTCTGAAGCATGAGAGCTGGTGTGGGTGTGGCGGAGGGGGACTTGCTTTCCGCTTTCTCCTCGCTTCTTGCACTTTCATTTCCCTTAAATAAGCTGAGCGATGGGAGTCGGTGGCATTACCTGTACCTGTTAGGGGCTCTCAAATCAACTTGACACCAGGAGATGCCTTTGTTCCCAGGTGATGCAGAAGAGCCTTCCCACTGCCATGGAGAAGGGGTGTGCGCGAGTGTGAGTGTGTGTGCATGTGTGTGTGCGCGTGCAAGATCAGCAGTGGGTGCTGCCACCACGGTGAGAGAGACCCTAGATTTACGTGTGGGACTTCCAGGTATGGGACTCTTCAAAATTCTCCAGAAAGCTCCCCGCCATTTAGTCCCTTCTTTCATTTCTAAACCTGAGGTAGGGAGGTTTCCTAATCTTCTTCCAGTTTCTCAGTGTCCCTCCTCTCCAGCGCCCAATGCCCTGAGGCAAAGCTCCCATGGTCCTCTCCTGTCTGGGAGTCAGAAGCGAGAAGCATGGGCCTGGGACAGCGGAGGCAGCCGTGGTCAGCAGCCTGGAGCCCGCCTTTAGGTGAGGCTCCAGCTGCTCCAGCGCGTCCCCCCTCACCCCGACCAAGGATGAGAGGAAGGCACTTGACTTCTCCCCATTCTTTCTTCTCCTGATTTGGAAAAGTTACTATTCTCACTTGCCTTCTCTTTCCCCCTGCACCCAGACATTCCCACTCAATGAGAGAAAAGAAAACCCCATCAACCTTAAGAAAAAAAATCGGAAAACATCACCCATTTCCACCTGTACCTTCCCATTGTCCCACTGAAGCTAACTGAACCATAACGAGCCCCAAGCAGTGCCAGTGGCATTCTGTTCTCTGGAACTTTCAGGGGCCTAACTGGGATCCAACACAACAGTAACAGTGGACAACTGCGTTCACTAAGTTAGGCCTCCTCGCTTTAGTGGGTGATGCCAAGGACGACGGTGACGCTCAGTATCGTGAGGATTCGGAAGGCCTCACCTCCAGAGTTTCCTCTTGGGAATTGTATCTTGGGCGGAGCCTCACGAGGCTGGAGGCACCATCGAGCACCTCACAGAGCTCCTTCAGAAACACCCCGCAGAACGGGACCACCCTGCAGCCGGGGATGTGCAGCGCCCGCGTCACCACCTTCCTGTACTCGCAGGAGGATTCATGCTGAGCCATGGCATCCTTCAGGCTCCTCATGGTCTCCAGGTCAGACTGGTCCATGAACTGCCACATTTTTAAAACTTTTCTTGACCTATCGCAAGTAAATGACACTTTTTCAGACCGAAGGAAAAATAATATAGTTTACAGTAAATAGCCTAAATTCTACACAAATTCATTCTTTTTGCTTAAGTTTTCTCTGTGTCTTAACACTTCTTTAGGATTCATATCTTCACCTACTTCCCCAAATGATGTTTAATATTACTTTTATAAATTGAAACACAAAGTTAAATAGGACAGAAAGAAACAAAAACACATGGAAGGAGTCAGTTTTGGAAGGTGGGCACTGAACATAGGCTTAAACTTTCCTAGCACCTACAGCCAAGAGGGACATCTATGAGTAATATGGTTTGTGTGAGTGTTTATGGAGGGCTGCCTGCAGAAAATGTGACCAGCCACTCCTCTTGATCTTTTAAATGATACCCTTAGATTACGCCAGTCCCTCAGCAATGCACACGAGCTTTGACATTAAGCCACTGGCCCATCCTGAGGGACATTATCTTGAAATATTATTTGCATAATAAGATGTTAAATGGGACTTTCCTATTTTGAAAGTGCTGCTAAGAACAAGAGGTGACTCTGCCCCTCTGTGGTCTCTCAGCGGCTACCAGCCCACGAGAGGGACTGGATCTGGGCAGCCAGGTGGGGAATACTGACAGAGTGCTGTGGGAAGGGGGAAATCACCCCAAGTTCGGGGACTTCAAGTGGACTTTATGGAGAGGTGGACCCATGTCCTGGGCAGTCTGTGGATCACACAGACTGGTGTGTGACTGCTGCCTGTGAAAGTCTGAAATGAGAGGCTGCCTGGAGCTGCCCGATGGCGATGTGAGGGAGAAAGTTCCAGTGGGTATGTCTTGTACTTGCAAAGTCTGAGAGTGTTTCCTGTGGGTCAGGAGTGGACACTGTGACAGGCAGGTGGACCTGAACTATCTTGAAAGGCCTGCCTACCAAATGAAGTGACTCTAGAGGAAAGAGTCGGGTAGGGTAGGACCTCCGGAGCTGGACCCTGGGGATTGAGGGTGCACTGCCTCTTGCCAAGTAACAGTGCAGTGGGAGGTGGGGGAAGTTAGAAGGCCTAATTAGAAAGAAAACCCAAAAGCACCCCATATGGCTCTCTCTATGGGAAAACCGAGGCCAGATTACAACTGTTCCAGTCAAATAAGACCCCTGCTTCCTCTACCCCCCTTCCTTTTTCTCTCATCTCCTGTCAACTCTTCCTGCAGGGACCCTGAGTTGGAAGGAGAGGAAGAGAAAAGATACATCATTCCTTCCCACCCTACTGCAGGTTTCTGAGACTGGTTGGGCTGTGAAATGTGGGGAAAGGGCAAAGCTTTAAGTTGAGTGAGAGGTTGTAATTTTGATTTATATCAGACTGGATTGAAAATTCATTATTTAATATATAAGATATCTAAAAGACATAAAGAAGTACAACATGACAAATACCCATGCATCAACCTCTCAGTTAAAAAAATAAATAAAACATTAATAATATGGGTGAGGCCCCAGTGGATTCCTCATGAGCACATGCTCCTCCCTCCCTCGAAAAAGGGGACCACAGCTGTGACTGTAGTGATCTTGCTCCCTAACAGGTCTTTATACTTTCCCTCCATGTGTATATATCACCAAGCAGTTTGTAGAATTGTTTTGTAAACTGTATATAAATGGTGTCACACTGTAGGCACTTTTAGACAGCCCGCTTTTTTTGCACCATTTTATGTTTCTGGGATTCATTCACACTCATGAGCATAGGTGAACAAGACAGTTTACTAACCACACAAGTGGCTGGGAAAGTTATAGGCTCTCCCAAGGTACAATCCAGAGCCAAGGGAGGGCGGGCTGATGAGGCAGGTTTGAAACACAGTGAGGTCAGAAAAATGAAACCATTCCCTGATTTCACCCCATTAAGTCCAGCTAGTCCTACAAACAGTTTCTTATAGGCTGGTGAGAATCCCTTTTGGGGCATGAAAAGGAGGTATAAATAAATGAAGTGACTAAATGAAGGAGGCATGGTTCCCACTGTGTGATCATTCTTCTTTCCCTGAGTAACAGAGTAATCAAACCTCAGCAAAGATCAAGGTTTTTTTTGTTAGACTGACAACTGACACTATTTTAAAACTTTTATTTTTATTTTTTCATTATAAAGGTACTAGATGCTCATTGTAGAAAATCTGGAAAATACCAAAAATATAGAAAATCCACCCACAGTTCTGCCATCCACAGACAACATTAGGTATATTTTCTTCTAGTATTTATTTTATTTGTGTCTGTTTGGTATAAATATTTTATAAATGTTGATGTATAAATATTGCTGAGGTTATTAAGTATAGACAGCTCTGTTCCCACATATTTTTATATATCATATGTTACTTGTTTTCCAATGGTATTAAAATTTTTTCATAACCATCATTCTTGGTGGCTAAATAACGCCCCAGTGTGTGGATGTATCATATTAGTGTCTTCATTTTTCTCTTGTTGTTCATTTGGGTTATTTTTAACTGACACCTTGATTGAGTAAATATCGTTATATGTAAGTCTTTGTACTTCTAATTGTTGCCTTAAAATAGCTGAGAATTTAGTTTGAGGAAGCAAAATGTATAAGTAGAAAACCAAAGTCATTTAACAAAAAGGTTGCTCCCCCTTTCCATCTGATTGCTTAAATAACACCTTTAGCTATCTTGATGTAGTTAAAATACTTATAATCTAAATCTTTTCAAGCCTGCAAATGCACACACTAGCTCTACCATCACCATTATTCCATCATAAGATCTAGCAACTTATCTCCTATATATATGAATAAAAGGACAAAGAAATCCCTCAAGATCAGTGGGTACCTGACTTAATAATTTGTATTGATTGTCACTATAGTGGCCTGTTTTAGGTAAATGTGGTTACCAGGGCAATTAATTCAGTGTGATTCAGCTAGTAAGAGGCAACTGTGCCCAGATAACCATGTTCCCCACTGCACATACCTGAGCCCGGCCAAGAACTCCATGACAGTGTTGTAGTTGCCCATGTTCCAGCAGCATTTGGCTACATGCACCAAATATGAGAAGACCTCCCGCTTCTCCTCCATGGAGCCCGCCGTGAGGATCAGCCACGTCACCCAGGAGCTCACCTGGAAAATGCACAGAGGGGTATTGACTGAAACTATGTCCTGGAAGCTTGACAAAATTTTTTCACAAGAAAACTGTTTTGTTTTTTAAAATAAAATCAGTTTAGTATTAGAAAATGAAGGACCTAGCCAGCCAACTAAGGTGACACTGTCACTGAAGCTCTGTCACTGCTTTGCAATGGGACTCTGGGAAAGTCATGTAACCTCTCTGTAGTTTTCAAAATAAGAAGGCTGCAAGGCAATTCATAAAATCCCTCTTGATCTATACAATTCCATAAAACTTTAAGAAAATAAAGCCTAATGATAATGATTTAAAGATATTTGACTAATGGATAGCAAGATTAAATGCAATTAGTGCACTGAGCCCATAAATGAAAGATACTTATTATCAGTAAAATACCTAATATCAAATGAAAAAATACAAAAAATAAATATTCTGAGCTATCTTTTACAAATGAATTATATATTACACTCCTTAAATAACTAAACGACAATGAGAAGAACAAATACTTACATAGCACCTACTATGTACCAGGAATTATTCTAAGCACTTTACATGTTAACTCATTTATCTCTCATAACAATCCTAAGAGTCAGGGACTATTATTATCCTCATTTTATAGAGAAAAAAACTGAGGGACAGAGGGCCTAAGAGCCTTGCCCAAGGTCCCCAACCAAGAGGTGGCAGAGCCTGATTTGAACTTAGGTGTATGCCCCAGAGGTGGCACAATTAACCACTCACTAAATGCCTAATGTGCATATATAAACGCTAATGTTCTCTAGCTCTGGGTTTAAATTTATCCTAATGTGATTTGATTTTTCTACTACACAGACTGGAGTATGATATTTAGTAATAGCCCAGTACCAAGACTCCCTTTATGATATGCAGCCTCAAAATCCTCTGTTTAATCTCTAAGATCATTTCGCTGCTACTTATACTTTGGTGCTTGGACACTAGCATTCACCTAAGTTACTGTCTCCATCCTGGCTAATGTCCGGGCTGATAAGCTCAGTTTTTAACAAACCAAAGCTCTTGTCTTAACCCCACAGGGGCCATTAGTTGCCCTTGGTTCAGCAACAGTGTTGACACCTGGGGAGCAACTCACTTCCCTGGCTTGAGTGAGAGTGAGGCCTGAACACAGAGTTCATGGTGATTCATGACAACTGCAGGAAAAAAGAGTTCCAGGTCCATGGCATATGCTGTAAAATGATAGGAATGAATGGCATTTATTGCTGGCAGCACCATGGAGGGCAGTCGAACCCCATTTTCCAGATCAGGAATCTAGGGCTCATGGGAGAAGTGACTTTCTGAGGTCACAATTCTTGTTGATGTCAAAACTAGGACTCCCAGTCTGGTGCTCTTTCCTCTGATGAAGGGTGTCAGTTTCTTTCAACTTAGCATTGGTTAGGTCCTTCTAAGTAAGAGGAGAGAACTGGAATAAAAGAAGATACCGAGAAGACTACCAAAAAATGGTTAAAGAAATGAACAAAGCTGAACAGAAGAGAATGATGCTGAACATCTTTTTCCTCTCTCTACACAGGAACAAATAGGGAAACAGCAACAGGGAGTCTCAGTGAAAAAACACGGTTATATTTTGGTACCAGCCAGGGGCACTGCAGTAATAATCTGCCTCTTCCCTTCTGAAATCAGCTGAAGCAAAAATGTGATGGGCCTGGGCCGAGCCTAGCCCAGTGGGCTCTGACCATGCTCCTCTGCTCTCTACCTGTCTGGACTTTGCTGAGTCCTCATAAAACATCAGGAGAACAGATTCGGCATCAGATCCCTAGGATAGGCCAGATCATCCTGCAAGGAATTCTGAGCCTTTTGGGGAAAAGAGAACCATTTATTCCAATCTCCTGAGGCTGCTTGGAGCACACAGGATCTCCCTCTGGGATTTGCAGAGCCAACCCCTCCCCTGCAGCTATAAGCAAACCCTTGCTTACCAACTCCATGCCTTGTCCCTTCACTTGGTTACCTGGTTAACAGTCACCTCGTGAAACCTTGGCTCTCTAGAGAAAGAAATTATTTTGCCAATAGTGTCCTTGGTGCTTCTGTCCAATTCTTCCTTTAGTGTGATTTTCTTTTGATGAGCCCTATCCTGCTGTGGGAAATCACCAGCAAACACTTAGAATCATAAAATCATTGACTCTTTGAGCTAGAAATTCAAATCCATCTCCTTACAAATAAAAATGAAATTATGGAAGTTAAAATGGTTCCTCAAAGACACCCAATGCATTAATTTTTGAGGCCTCTGGCTGTATCTTTCTGTGGCTTTAACTTCTTTTTGTTGTCGAAATTAATGGCAAATCATGCCTATGTAAAGTCATGGTTCTTTTAAGCTATTCTGGTACTACACAGAGACTTACTAGTCCAGTGGTCTGAAAGGGTTCTCATCTTCCCTGGAGAGTTCTGCTTCATGGAGCAGGCGCAGACCAGCACATGGTTTGTGCCTCAATCCTGATCAAGCATCCAGATTTATTTCCTATCAGTCAAATGATTTTCCATATACTTTCCCACAATGCTTGGAAAAAAATAGCGATACCATATTTCACATGGAAACCTAATTTAAACCAACTGTTCCATCTCCAAGTGTGAGTCCCCAGGGCCTGGCTGCTGAGATTATGTAAGCACTGTTATCATAAACACACACACACACACACACACACACACACACACACCCCCAACATCTGCTTACAGACTTCAGAGACAATTCTTATTGTGGCCTAATGTATTCACAACTTCACAGGCATTAACTGATGGGAATGCCATCACTGATTATAAAAAAAAATAAACATGACAAAAAGGAAACAAGGATTTGGCAATGACCGTAAAATGTTGCCCAAAGCATAAACTGCGGTCACGTTTACTAAGTGGAAAATGTGATGTGTTGCCAATCCAGAAAGATTTCCAGGACATAAATCACACAGAAAAACACACAAGTCACCTACACATAAAGTACTATGACTCAAGCACAGGGAGCATCCCTGAGTGGAAAGGTGTTAAATGTGGCAAATTATTTTGCCTTATTTCCATGGTGAGCACAGAATAAAGAGAGAGCCTGCTCTCCCCCAACCCAAACATCACCACCCCGGCCCCTGCCCAATTCCGTATAAGTTCCTCCCAGAGGCCCTGTGCTAACCCTGACAGCCATGACCCCTTGGTACATGCCTACAACTCCTCCACAGTTGCTCCTCTCCAGATGTTTTCTTTCTTCCTTCTCTTGCCTTTCTCAGTCCTCTTAGGCCTAGCCAAACCGAACAGCTTGCTTTCTCTTCTCACATCAAATACCTTATTGGCATCACACGAGCTCAATTTGGAAGGAATGTTCCTGTTCCATTCAAAATGACCTTTTCCTGGTCCACCATATCCTTACCTTGGCCCACCAGGCCCTTGTCCATTCTTCAACCTCACACCGGCTTCCCCCACACCCTGCTTTTAGGAAGGTGACCAAGGCTTTTTTCTATCTCAGGGACCTTGTACTTGGTCATTCCTTCCAGAAGAAGGCTTAGTCTCCTACACCTCACCCCCACTGCTAATTTAGCTACCACCTATCTATCCTTAAGGCAGAAATGTCCCTGCAGTCCGGATCCCTGCCTGAGCTCCATGCTGGCTGTTCCAGCCATGCCCCTCTCCACAGAATGAGAAGCCAGTAGGGTGGAGGGAACATGTCTGCCTACCGGCTGTGCATCCACTTCTAGATCATCTACCCCAGTAGACTCAGGACTCCTGAATCCCCTGTCCAAAGGGCCCAAGCCCACTTCTGGGCCTGTTAGGGCCTTTTGCCTGGACCAGCCCACCTGAGGGTAGACCATAACTCTACGTCTGAGGGCTGGCCAGCGGGCACAAGAGGGTGGCATACGGATAGTCTGAACTTCCGCCCGCAGCGCCCACGCACAGGCACCCTGCTGGGATGGAAAGAGAAGGTAGGCAGGCCACTGGCTGGGGCCTTCTGTGTTCTTCTTCCCGGGTTTCTAGCTGAAGTCAGGGGCAGGGCTGCCTTCAGGAATCTGATGAAAGCATCACTTCCTTGAGGAGGCCTGCTCTGCCTTCCCACCCGGGCTGGTCCACGTGCTGTGTTATGTGGCGACCTCATGTCTCCTTGACTCTAGCCTCCCTGCACAGTCAGCACTGTGCTCCCCAAAAGGCAGACATCAGTGCCCACCCTGTAAGTGCTTCATGAAAGTCAGCAGATAAGTGGATGTGACCTCTTCTAGGAAGGCTTTTCTGATTACCTAGCATTTCATATTCAACTTCTTCCTGTCCCTCTCGGGCTTAATGTTGGACTGAGTCCATAGTTACGCCTGCATTTGTATTCTGCCCACTGCGTGAATTTCTATCTGGTTTATTTTTGTTATATTTGTGTGCCTGACTCTTTCACATGGGCCTGTTCTGTCTCTTTGACCAGACCTTATGTCCTCAAGGACAGAGACCATCTTTCCCACATCTCCAGTGTGGGGATGCTCAGTGCCTCTGACCGATAGGCAGGCCACCGGGAGTCCCAGGAGGCCGTGGGCAGAGAGGATTCTCAGCCTCCAAATAGTCAGGAATTATATTTGGGAAGAGGCCTGAACACTTCCTACTGCTGTTCCCAGGTCCAGAAAAAGGAGACAAATGACTTTCTGCCAAAAAGTTTTTTGAATATGCTGAGCAGAAGTTTTCAGAGAAAGATAATCCTTTTAATGGGTATCTGGTTACCTAATTGCAAAGGCAGGCTCAAATGGTGAAATCTAAAGAAGACAATGAAAGTCTAGACAAAGTTATTCTCAGGTAGTTTATGTGCAGTGCACATATCTACCTGTCTTCCCTTGAAGTAGATTATATGGGAATGCAGAGGCATGCACACACACACACACACAGACCTGTTTGGGATCTAGGGGGCAGTTATTTAAGGGTTATACGAAGCTATGGCAAGAGAAGGTGGGGGCCAAACACAAGCCTTGCTCCTTCTGTAGAAAGGGGGTGAGTTTTCACCCCAGAGGGGGAAAGACATGTTTTGTATCTG